CAGGTTTCCTTGATAGCAATGGATTTCCCTGTTCTGTGGCCTCGGCTGGAAATTCCTGAGATTTCCTTACCAATCCTAAAGAAAAATATGTACTGACATACTGGTGTACCTTTGCCTGGGAAAGAAGCTACCATCCTGACAGAAGTAGAGTGAGAGGAAGTGTATTTTGACTGGATTTTCCCACTCTTTGCCAGGATAAAGTCAACTTCTTTTCTGTGGGCCAAGCAGCAGGTGGGAAGCAGAGGACACTGCTCTGACACCTGACTCACGGTTTTTCTGTAAATTTGTCCCCACACACTTAATGAGTGTCATTATGTGTGGAGCCTGGAGGAGTGGTCTGAGGGTACCACGAGTAGGTGGCATCACCTTTACCCGCTAGGAGGATCTTCTCCGCTGGTGAGAAGAAGTGGACGCAGGCCAGGGATCCCAAATGGTAGATACAATGTAGACAGGACACATTTTGGAAATCCACAACTGCAGCTTCCTTCCTACTTTCTCATACAGAAATATTTGCATGTTTTTGTGGTTTTATTTTGTGGTATTGGAGATTGAATCTAGAATCTTGTGCATGCTAGGCAAGCACTCCAGCCCTTTTTATTTTTATTTTGAGACAAGATCTTTCTAAGTTGCCCAGGCTGGTCTTGAACTTGTGGCCCTCTCTCCTCAGTCTCCTGAGTGGCTGGGATTATAGGCATGCACCACAGGGCCAGACCACACACCTATCTTTTAGGTTGTCTTGGGCTCTAGCAGGACACCTTTAGTCCTTAGTCTGAATCTCCTAATGCTTCTCCTTACCTGCCTTTTCTATTTGTATCCCACTTGAATCAGTGGTTGGCAGGTAGTGAACTCATTGAAGTGAAGTTCATTTTAGAAGATCAGGTCTCTCCACTTTCCCAGATAGCAGAAGACAATTTGTCTGTTCTGGTATATTCTTTCTGCCTGCCTGCCTGTCTGTCTGTCTCTCTCTCTCTCTCTCTCTCTCTCTCTCTCTCTCTCTCTCTCTCTCTCTCTCATACACACACACACACACACACACAGACACGCCCCTGCATCCACATGCTACAACTCTCTTTTGCAGACAGATGTATCAGTGCACCGAGAGGTGAATTCCCTGTGTCAGGGCAGGTCCAGTCAGGGAGGGAGCCCTTGAAGACTTTCTTCCATCCACGCTCCCTGCTGGAGAGAGTTAAGAGGTAAGGGGTCAGGCACCATGGGCTCCCACAGCTTACCCATAAATCAGTATCCCATCTAACTCCTCCCCGAGGGTTGAGTTACGAACCTCAGTAACCCCAGGGCAGCCGGCCTGGTAATTCCTATTATTCAGCTGTCAGCTGGCTTTTGAAAGCCACCATTCCCAATGATCCAGTTATGGGAGTTTCAGAGCCCGGGCCTAGTCTCAGCGAGAAACCCTATAGCCAGGTGGAACAATGGTGAGGGCTCCTGCTTGCTTTCCAAGGGAGCTGGGCTTTCTCTTCATTCTGGAGCAGCCTCCTCTTAACTCTTTGCATCCCTCCCGGGCTGTTGGGAAGCCCTGCCTCGCTCTCAGCCTTCACACTGATGCCTTTCAGAGCCACTTCGCCTTTCTTTGGGGACCCTCCCTGCAGGGCAGCATCCATCAGCAGAGAACAGAACAAGTTAAAGTGAGGGGTGGCAGCAGAAAGAGAACTGCTCCAAAATAGAGGCTGCTGTGACTGACATGTGCATTTGCTCAGGGGCCAGTCCCAAGGCAGGGTTTGTCATCTCTGGGGTGCTGCAGTTGTCGGGGACTCAGATCTCAGGTCCCCAGCCAGAAAGAAAGGCACCAAGAGGGAGGGGTCTGCTCTGACAGTGATGAGAGGGGGCAGTGATCCCTCTATCCCCGACAGCCTTCTCTGGGCCCTTCAGCGGGGCCTCCTGCTGCTTGACATTGGGGCTGAGAGCACCGGAGCCACGCTACAGGTGTCTTCAGGACAAGCGGGAGGGAGCAGGCTGGGAAGGGAAGGTCTTGGGGGTGAGCAACCCCCCAGGCCCACTAAGCACCGCTAAGATGCTTTTCCTGCTCCCTAGCCCCTACAATAGGGATTCCCTTCCTTCCTTCCTTCATTTTCTTTCCTTCTTTCTTTTTTTCTCTCTTTCTTTCTTTCTTTCTTTCTCTTTCTTTCTTTCTTTCTTTCTCTCTTTCTTTCTCCTTCCTTCCTTCCTTCCCTCCTTCCTGTCTCTACTGAGGATTTGAACTGAGGGTCTCTGCACTGAGCTGTATCCCCAGCCCTTTTTTCATTTTCAGACAGGGCCTTGCTAAGTCACTAAGTTGGCCGCCTGGGTTTGAAGTTGCAAACCTCCTGCCTCAACCTCCCAGAGTGTTAGGATTACAGGTATGCCCCACTGTCCCCACCTCACAATGGTGATTTGTAACCTTTTATAAAGCCAAAGATCCCTTTGGGAAATTGTTATAAGCTATGAAGCCAACCCAAGCACAAAAATATTTGTATGTACCCACAAACACAGGTTAGCCATTTTTAGGGGTTCACAGTCCCTAGAGCTCAGGACTCTGGTGAGCCTGGGGATCCCAGGTAAAACTGTACTCTCTCAGCTTCTTTGCCTTGTGACCCAATTCTACCACCAGGGCCACGAGGAAGCCCATGGCTCAATGTGTCAGGTGGCTCGGGAGAACTAGGATGAGCCCCCTAGCCCCAGGGCCTGTACTGACCCAGAGGACAGCTCTGGAGTTGCTTTGTCCTTCAGTTTCACTCTTGGCCCCAAGGGGTGCCCATGGATACCACTGGCCAGCCTAAGGCACTGGGCTAGGTAGAAAGCCAATGAGAGGGTGGTAGGAAGGAGCCGAGGGGGTCCATGCATAGTGGCGGGCTGCCAGTGCCCTCCTCAGCAGTTGGGCTTGGTCCTCTCTTCTCCCCTGTGGTGTGTGTGCGAGTCACTCTGGCCAGCTCTGCCATGCCACCTGCTAAAATGCTGTACCTGCTTTTGGCCCCAGAACCTTCTTGCTGGTCATCTGTCAACTTCTGGGAGGACTGGATACTGGCCAACTGACTCTGTCCTTTCCCCTTACCCTTTGTCTCCATCCCTTGGAGACAGTATTTCCCTACTGTGCAGTCAGTCCTCAGTATGCCTGCTTCACCTTCCTGCAGGTGCACTCTGAGGGAGCCAGGGAAAGGTGGATGGGAGGAGGGTACAAGGAGACTTCAGTCTCCACAGTCTCCATTGGGCTGAGAGTTCCAGCTCCACCCAATAAAATCCATCTGAGTTCATAATGAGAGAGAGAGACAGAGAGAGAGAGAGAGAGAGAGAGAGAGAGAGAGAGAGAGAGAGAGAAGAGAGAGAGAGAGAGAGGCTTGGCCACACTATTGGTCAGGTTCCTGTCAGGAAGCATCCAGGCTGTTGTAGGGCTGGTTCCCCTCACCGACTTCTGCTCTTCACTTATCTTTTTTAAAATTCAGGCTTGGTCAAGTGACTCATCTTCAATGAAATCCTTACTGCTTCCCCTTTAATAAAATACAGATTCCGGCCAGGGATTTAGCTCAGTGGTTTCCCTGCCTGTCTTGAAAGCAAGCGGAAGGACCCCAGTTGGATTCCCGGTACAAAAGAAAAAAAAACAACAAAAAAACCCAGATTCCTCAGCCTGGCATTCCAAGGACACCTCTGCAATCTGACCTGGACTTATCTGTCCTGCCCACCCTTCTACATCAGGGTGCAGCTGATGATCCAGTCCTCCGGCCTGGCCCTGGCCCTGCTTCTAGTCAGCACTTTATTCTGCTGCCTCCAGATCTGGGTTTTTTTTTTCTGATTTTCCTGTATAGAAAAATTTCCCTATTTCTCAAGGCCCAACTCAAAAACTTCCCTGATGCCTTCCACAGTCCTTGCATTTTAATTTTTTTTCTCCAGTACTGGGGATTGAACCCAGGGTCTTCCCACAGAGCTACTTCTCCGGCCCTTTTAAATTTTTTTTTTTTTTTGAGACACAATCTTGCTAAATTGCTAAATTACCCAAGCTGGGCTCCTACTTGAAATCCTCCTGCCTCGGCCTCCTGGAGTGCTGGGATTACAGGCATGACCCACCTCGCTGGGCTGCATTCTGAATTTTTCTGTATCCCTCAACAGTCAGTATCCCCAGAATGAACACGATTCATGTAGTTTTTTATTATTTCCTGGCGAGCTGTCAGCTCCCTGAGGGCAGACATCAGATTTTCGACTCTTAGTCCAGTACCTGGGACAAGGCAGGTGCTCCGTGAATGTGCAGGAGTCCAGACACCCCCCTGCTAATAGGACCTTCGTTGCGGGGCGCTTTGCTCTCTTGGCAGCCACAGCACAGCCTTTAGATGCTGCCTTGAACGTGATGCGTGTCAGTTGCCTGAGGAGCCCTGGGTTCTGGATCCCTCCTCTCCGATGTTTATTTCCCCAGTGCTTGCTCCCAGTCGAGGACCTGTGGGCCCCTGTGGCTGGGCTTGATCCAAATGTCATTGAGGAACCGCCCCAGACACGCGTGTTCACAGGCTTCACTTTGACCCTGGAGCTTGCTTCTGCCCGACCCGTAGGCGGAATCCAGCCGAGATCCTCTGCGCCCTCAGCTTGCACCACTGGACGCAGCCAGTCCCCATCCCGCGGCGGACGCGCCTCAGTTTTTCAGCCCACTCCGGAGGAGCAGAGGAAAGTCACTTTGGCGCCCCGTCTCCCCACCGAATAGCGACCTCGGGGCGCTGGCCCGTCTGGCGCCTGCACTGGGAAAGCCAGCCAGGCGGGCCACGGCGTTCCAGCTGCGCTTCTGACGGCGGTCAGAAATGCGCGCGGCCCCTTACAGTGTTTCCGAGGGAAGGTTGGTACATTCGTGACCGTCCCTGGCAGCCGCCCGGCCCGGGACTTGGGCTGCACTCGCCATTGGCCCGCGGTCTGCGTGACGCTCAGGGGCGGGGCCTCGTCAGCTGTTTGCGGGATGCCCGGAGCGGGCGTATTTTGGAAACAATACCGCGCGGTGCGCCGTGGCCTCCTCCGCGCTCACCCGCGCCGCCGCCGCCGTAGCCCCAGCCCGCACCGCCCGCCTCCCGCAGCAGCCCGGTGAGCTCCCGGGCGGCCGGGGGCCGGGCGGGGTTGGATCGCACCTCCTCGGGGAAGTGGGGGGCGGCGTCGTGCTGCGCGAAGGGGTCGGGGAAGGGTTTGGGCTGCGGGCATCTTGGTGACCATGAGGCTCTGGGGCGCTGGGGTGCGAGGACAGGGTGCAGAACCCCTATCTGGGCGCGCTGCTCCAAGAGGGGGTAGCGTTTGGAGCCCGAAGGAGTCGTGTCTCCGTAGGCAGGGGTCCTGGGGTGCACTGCTGGACAGACCTAGGCACCCGAGATGGCCTCGCCTCTGGGTCTGACTTCAGGGTAGGGCGGTGAATTTGGGGCGTCCTGCCTCCCTGCGGAGCCTGAAACCCCCTCTCCTTAACAGCTGGGCTTTCCCCTCCTTCATCGACTCTGGGCGCCCAGCCCCCGAGTGCTGGTCACGCTGGACCCTGGCGCAGAGCCTTGGCGCCACGACTCGGAGGCCGATTCTCTCTCCTGGAGTCACCCAGGTCTGCGGGTGTGCGTGTATGTGTGTGTGTGTATGTGTGTATGCGTGTATGCGCGCGTGCGCCCGCCTGCTCTGAGGGTTTAGCCACTGCCTTCTAAGAGGAGGAGGAGGAGGAGTCTAACTTCAGCATCCCAGTTCTGTCCCTCCCGCGCTGGGTTGGTTCTACGGGCTTTCGTTCCCTTGCTGGGAATGAAGCATTCCCTGGCAGTGTCCTCAGGAAGTGCCCTCCTCCTGCTAGTGTGGGCATCATTACTTCAGCTCCTGGAAGAAGCAGGAGACAGTCTCTTACCGGACCGTGTCAGCACTCCTCCGAAGCTCCCACCTCCCACCGGTGGGAGAGCCACCTGCCGTTCACGTGGAGGGTGGAAGGGGGTCCCCGGAGCTGGCAGAGCCACGCCCTCCGGCTGCACCTCCCCCACCGTCCAGTCTAGGGGAGGGCTGGACTTTGGGGCTCTGCTGGGAGGGGGAGGGGAGGTGATAAGCTTCAAAGGAGACACCAAGACAATGACTCCTGCTTTTGATTGGCTGTAGAGCGCCCCTTCTTAGACTGGGGTTGCCAGCCTGCAGAGGTGGCTGAAGGGCAGGAGGGGAGCCCCTGCCAGGTGACAGCACTTGGTCCTCTCCGGGAGGCACTTTTTTCCTGTTGCTGATAAGCACCCCCTCACACACACACACACATTGGGAAACACTATCCAGAGCTGTGTGCTCTGTCGTCCTGTCGGGCGCAGCCTCCCTCTCCTGGGAAGAGCTCTGAGACAGGACAGGACCGTAGGTAGTCGGGGACTGGGTGGGGTGGAGGGAGGCTTGGAGCAAGCACTGCAGAGAACTTGCATGTGGGAAAGGCAGGGCTTGTGAATTTGACTGAGAATCCTTTGAGGACTTCACCAGCCCACAGACCACTTGGCTTAGGCTTCAAAGGCAAGACGCGGGGAAATGGAACTCTTGGGAATAGCTCATTGAGCCTGACAAGGACTAGCTTCGGCCATTTCCTTAACCATTCAGGTGGTCCCTGCTTCTAGTGGCCTCCAGGGTCCTAAGAGAGGGTGTGGGGGAGGGGCAGGGCTGGATGGGTCAGAGAGTGGACTTCCAAGAGCCATCAGGTGGAGCAAGAGGAACTTCTTTATCACCAAGAAACTCACATCAACAACCTGAGTAGTACAGGCAGTGAATGAGGTCAGCGAGAGGGCTGAATTTCACTTCCTTCTGTGAGGCACAGTGCTGCAATCTCAGGTCAGCACCGGCAGGAGCTGGAGGCTGGGGGCTGAGGAGGATTGGAGTCTAGTGAACAGATTGAGCTGGGGGAGGCTGGACACTTTGCAAAGACTGGACCTATCCCAAGGCCAACTTGTGGGTAGATGGCTCTGCTGTGCTCGAGGCGTGCTGAGGAGGCGGCTACAGTGACTAACTCAGGTCTTTATCCCCTCTCCCAGGACACACTCTCACTACACCGCAGAGCTGTTTGTTGTGTTGTGCAAGCAGGGGGTGGAGACCGGCGTGGATGGCGGTAGGGCGGGGCTTAGCAGGTTTGGAGGGAACCTAGCTGGCCCAGGATTGCTGCTTTTGTTTTTGCTGCTGAGCTTGGAGTTTAGCTCAGAATGAGATGAGAGCTTTGGAGAATTCTCCTTCAGGTGGTCCCCGTGTGTGTGTGTGTGTGTGTGTGTGTGTGTGTGTGTGTGACTTTCCCCTTCTGTGCTCCCATAGCCATTTACAGAGACTAGACTTGTGTCTGTTTTCCTAGGTACCCTGCGTGCTGGTAGCATCTGCTATCGCTCACAACCCTCAGACTCAAACCTTATGACCTGCCTAGGAGAGAAGAGGTCAGGGGAAGGGTGGCTGTGATAGGACCCAGGAAGAGGCATGGAGAGGTCCTTGACATGGAGGCGGCCGATTTAGGGACTAGGTGTCACCCGTCCCTCAGTGCCTCACTCAGCTCCCTCAGATAAGAAAGGGAAGCAGGAAAGCAAGAAGAGAGGGAGGACTTCTGGGTGTGGCCTGGGTGGGCAGCATCCCAGATGCCTGCATTGCTCCCTAACAGGGGAGATGGAGCCACCTCAATGTGTGGAGGAGCTGGAGGATGATGTGTTCCAACCCGAGGACGGGGAGCCGGGGACCCAGCCCGGGAGCCTGCTCTCTGCTGATCTCTTTGCCCAGAGCCAGCTGGATTGTCCCCTCGGTCGGCTGCACCTCTTCCCTCTCACCCACTGCTGTGGCCCTGGGCTTCGACCCACCAGCCAGGAAGACAAGGCCACTCAGACCCTCAGCCCATCCTCTCCAAGCCAGGGTGTCATGCTGCCTTGTGGGGTGACTGAGGAGCCCCAGCGACTCTTTTATGGTGAGTGCTGTTAGCCTTAGGACTCCTTCTATAGAGGTTGGGGCACAAGAGAATACTCTCCCTCCCCAAACCTGTCCTCTGCTATTTCCTTCTCGAAATAAGCAGCAGGGGCTGTCGTTCCCTCATCTTTCTGCCTTTGGCCTCTCTGCTTGTTACTGCTTCTCACCTGTGCTGAGTCCCAAACAAGATGCATTGCTTCCCCCCCCCCCCCCGCCTTTTTTTCTTTTCTTCCTGCTCTGTTGTCCATTCTTGGAGGGATCCTGGGGCTCATGGTGTCGCCTGTGAAATCCTGGGCCCTGGAGTAGCTCAGCCTTTTGTGTCCTGATCCGTGGTTTGTCTTCCCTAAACTGGCTAAGGTTGCCCTAGAGAAAGCTGGGAGATCTGTGACTCGCTGTTGACTCTGGAAAAACCCAGCCAGTTCAGGTATGGAGGGTCCGTGAAGGCAGAAGGTGGCTGCAGTTGTCACTTGGGACTTGCTGTGCTTGGATCGGGAACTGGAGAAAGAAGTTGGGCCTGCCTAGGCCCAGTGCCAGCCGAAGGGCTCTTTCCAACGCTCAGTCAGATAAGACCCCTTCATTTGTGGGCGTGAATGGTTTGTTTTATGAGACATATGCCCTCCTTTGGCGAAAGGGCAGGGCTAGCCACTCGGCTGTTTTCTTCTTTTAGCACACTGGCTGGTGGAGGGAGGGCACGGGTTCACGGTCAGTCTGCAGAGTCTGCCTGCACAGAATGGGATACGCTGTTCCCCACGGGAACTGCTGCGCGGGGCACTGCTGGTGAAGCGAATTCTGGAGGGAGTCTGAGAAGTTGGACAAGGCTGGTGGCCTGGAAAGCAGGGCAAGGAGGGAGGAGGCAGGCGAGCTGCTGCCCCTAGCGGCCACTCTGGTGCCAGCACTTGCCGAGTACCCTGCGCGGTTGGGAGCGCTCTCCTGGGGGAGGTGGGGCGGTGCTCCAGAGAGGAACTTGGCTGCTCGGCCTCAGGAGTTTCCTCTCGCTTTTGTGCCGCTGCCCAGAGCTTCGGGTGCTGAGCCCATCTTTTTCTCTGCTGCACTAGATGAGTGAAGATGCTCCGTGTTTTGTTTCTCTTTGTGTCCTGCTTTGCTCACCCCAGGAACTCGAGGGTTGCTTGGTGCCAGTGGTTTTCCAAAGAGGAGCTGCAACCTCCTGCTACGTTAATAATAAACTGGTCAAGTGTGGTCAGGTGTGGCTTGAGAATTTAGGACGGAAGGTTGGCACACTCCCACACCTGGACCACCCTGTCCTATGCCATGGCACTGACAGTGAATGGAACACAGTAACAAGTGAAGAGAGGGCTTCGGCTCCTCCTTTCTTTTCCTGACAGCAACTGGTGTGTGTGTGTGTGTGTGTGTGTGTGTGTGTGTGTGTGCGCGCGCGCGCGCGCGCGTGCGCACAGGAGATCGAACCCAGGGCCTTGCACATGCTAAGAACCACTGAACCACACCCCAAGTCCTTCATCAGCTTTTTTTTTTCACACTTGGACAGCAGGCAAGGTAGACTGTCCAAGCTTGGCAGAGTGCCCTGATAAAGGAAGGCTGCGTCCTTTCCCTTCCCATCCTAGTGTTTACCCTCAGGCCTGGGTCATGGCCAGAAGGGCAGACAGGGAGAGGATGGGGCAGGAGTGGAGAAGACTGAAATGTGGGTCTTCTCTCTCTGCAGGCAATGCTGGCTACCGGCTTCCTCTCCCTGCCAGTTTCCCTGCAGGCTTGCCGCATGGGGAGCGGCCCCCAGAAGGTCAGTGGCAAGATCGAGCAGAGGTACAGATCGCCCGGAAGCTTCAGTGCATTGCAGACCAGTTCCACCGGCTTCACATGCAGCAAGTAGGCCTGAGGGCCGGGGAGAGGGGGTGTGTGCTGGGACTGGGGGCCAAGGCCTGCCTCCGTCCTCAGCAGCCGGTCCCTGCCAGCGATCCTGGCCTTGGCTTTGTCATTCCTGTGAAATGGGTGGGCCTGACTGGATGAGCACTCTTACCCTCATCTCTGAGCTCCACATTGGTTATCTGCTATCCTAAGAGCCAGACCTCCTTTCAGCAGCTCAGCTTGGCAGACTCTCTTCCAGGTCAGCGTTGGGGGCTTGTCTCTCACAGACAAGAGGGGAAGATTTTAGGGTGCTGCTGTGAGACAGGCAGTTGGGAGGTGCTGGGAGAGGTGCAGTGAGGAAGGGATAATCAGGCCAGGGGATGGGGCCTGAGTGGGGGAAAGTGGTGGAACCGGTTGAAACCCGACACTGTCTGTCTGGGAACCCCGGCCGCAGGCCTGGGACTCTGAGCGCACCTCAGAGAGTCTCCCCAGACCGGCGGCCAGCCAGGCGCTCTGCCGGGTGCTTGGCCGGCAGCCTGGCACCATCCCCGCCGGGGCGGAGCATCGCGTGTCAGCCGAGCATGTGGCCGAGGCCATCAACAAAGGCGGCGGCTGGCAGGCTCGTGCTGGAGGAGCCCTTGGTGCCATGGGCTGGAAGCTGCCCTGCTCCACAGCAGCCGCTGTCTGAGCCTGGCCCCAAGCACTTAACCCTTCCTCACCTGGCATGCTTTCTGGACGCCTGCCAAGGTGGGGAGAGGAACCTGCGGCTGGATTGTGCTGTTATAGCCACTGCTGAGGCAAAGCCATGCCACCTGGCAGGGAACACATTCCCTCCCCCTGGGACTGTGTCCTTGTCCTGGTGGTGGTGGTGGTGGTGTGTGTGTGTGTGTGTGTGTCTGTCTGTCTGTCTGTCTGGAAGTCAAGGGAATAAATAACTAGCATGATTTTGCAGACCCTGAGATTAGATGGGTAATTTCAGGTGACCAGAAGAGATTTATTGGTAGTAGTCAGTTTGACTTTGAGGTCAAACTGTTGCCAGCATTAGGAGGAAGAAAATTAGGGTTAGGGAGAGGATTTGACTTTGGGATTCCTGAGAACAGGCCTTTGGGGGTTACATGTGGTCATCCCTCAGGATGTCCCTCCTGAGGGAGATTTGGGGCTAGACCTAGCTCTTCCAGCTCTTGATGATCAGGAAGGGAGTGTGGCTCTGAGCTCAGGTTATAAGGCAGCCTAGCCACCTGCTCTGGTGCCCTCAGTCCTTGTTCTCCTCCTCGACTGTTTTGTGGAAACTTGGCTTAGAGTTTCCCTGCAGTCCATGTTGTGGATTCCTTCTGATTTCTGCTTTCAGTCTCCATTCACCCCACCCTAGTTGTGCCGGCCCATGGGTGAGCCTGCTGGTCCTGGTGCTGGGAAAAAGGGGGGATACAAAGGCTGTCAGTTCCTAGCTTCATCTGCAGGACATCTGGAAGGTGGCTTTCTCCATTCACAATAATCTGACCTGGGCCAACAATTGTTTCCCAGAATGTTCCCCATCTAAGGGGAGCCCTGATCAGCTTGGGAGCAGGCTGGGAGGCCTCCCTTGCCCAGCTGTACCCTGTCGCAGGAGGAGGCCCTTAGCCGGAGATCTGAGCCTCTTTGCTGACTGGCATTATTTCTCCCAGTTCAAGGCTGCCTGCTGGAAGGATCAGGTCAGTTCCAGACTCATCTCAGCCAGGGCCACCCGAGCTGGGGAGAAGCAACACGGATGGAGAAGTACATGAGTCTTCCCTACCTTGCACTTCATCCACACTGGTTCCCAAGCTCCTGTGCCTCTATCCTCCTGGCAGCCACCTGCTCTCCTACTTTGCAGGAACAGGATGCCGACCAGTAAGGCCTTTCTAGGCCAAAGAGTTGGTTTTGTCAGATTTTCCTTTACGAAGAGACAGGCCTTTTGTCTTCTCCTTGGAGAATTATCCCATCCTCCGGGTTTTATCCGCCTGTTCCCCACAAAGGGCCAGGGTGATAGTAGATGGAGCACCAGCATTCCTGGACCTTTGAAATCTGGCTTTAAAAAGTGAGTCACTTTGTGAACTTGATCCTTATGCAAACTATGATCTAATATTTCATATCTAGAAAGTATTGTTGTCACTCCTACATTTTTATCTTCTTTCCCCATTCCTTCCTCTTTTTTTTTTTTTTTTTGTGCTACTGGGGATAGAACCCAGGGCCTAACTGGAGCTAGGGAAGCAATCTACCACTGAACTACATCCCCAGCCTCCTGCCATTCTTACAGGCAGAGAGACTGAGGCACTGGGAAGGAAGTTGTCAAGGATTTGGTCTTTCGGTTTTGGGTTCAGAGATCGAAGGTCCAGGTTTGAATAACAGCTCTGTCACCTTTAGCCATTGGGAAGTTATTTGACCTTGCTGAGCCTATTTCCCCTTCTGTACAGATCTAACACCCCAGAATTTTATTGTGAGGATTAAATGAGAAAACCTAAGAAATTTCAGGCACATAGTGATTTTTAAAATATAACTGACAAAATCATCTGTATTTAAAGTTTATAACATCATCCTTTGAGAGACATGTATATTGTAAAATGATTACTACAATCAAGCTAATTAATAGATCATCACCTTACATAGCTGTAGATGTTCTTGAACACTTGATTTCTTCTGCTTATAATCCTGATCACCTCTGCATTTGTTCTTGTTGGTTCACAGTTCATTTCTTTCTCTACTTGCCAAGTATCCAAGCTGCTCAGGACCTTGACCGTATCCATTTCTCCTCAGGGAGTGACAGTTGCTCCCCAGCATTGTGGGCTGTATTTAAAGACCCTCTGAGAGAGGCAACCCCAGAAGCAGTAAGGAAGTTTGGGAGGCCTGACCTCCTCCTTTCCTCCTAAATCTGAAACCATGTCCAGACAGTGGCCATTGGCCTTCATCTTGTAGGAATTGTGACCTCTCCCTTCTGTCCCTTGGTATAGACCTCATTATTCTTTTTTTTCTACACCAGAGAAATCTCTCTTGGAGGTATTAAATACAGAGGGGGGTGCACCATGCAACAGGTTCCCGATTCCCCTGGGTGTCACAGTATGCAGGCCATACGCCATCTCTGTGTTTCCTGAAGAGCGTGGCTAGGTTGAAGACTAACCTAGTTACCCAAGTGGTTGGTTCTGGATGGCCTCTCTGATCCACAGGTGAGATATAGAGGCAGAAGATCAGTCAGCCAGTGCTCTACATTAGCTCTTTGGGCTTCTGAACCAGTGAGAGTTGGAGGCCAAGTGAGTGAAGGTAAAACTCTTCCAAAACTCGCCACATCCCTCCCTCTGGCTGAGTCAGGTGAGAAAGTTCCCTCTCTGTGTTCCTCATAAGCCAAGGCTTCACCCTGACGGCCTGCTGACAGTGATGTACTCTGATTTGGGTTCTGTGAGGTTGGCTTCACACTGTTCCCTTGTCTGTTCAGTCTCTGAGCTCGCAGGCTGTCCTGGCCAGAAAGTCTGAGCATCAGCTTCTTTCCATTCCCAATGCTGTGGTCTCCTCCGGCAGGTGCCTTGGGAAGACAAGGAGGAACTGGTTCCCTCCCCTTGGAGAAGCCTCTTGTCCCATTGGTTCATCTTGAAATTTGTGGGTGTCTGGGTGATGTTAAGAAGCTAAAGATTCTCAAAAAGTAGGTGCAGTAGGCCATTGAGTAAGTCTAAAGCTGTAGGAGGGTTGGAATTCTTCCTGTTAGAAATGGCTCCTTTACTTGGACCAGGAGTGGCTCCATTCAGAAAAGTCAGATTTGGAAATTCCCTGAATAGTAATTAGACTTTTTGGAAAATGAAATCTAAGAAAACTTTCAGCCAGTCAGTTGAAACTGTCTTTAGTTGTGGTATCACAGGAAGGATCCTGGACTTGCAGGCAGATCTGGGCTAAAACTCCAGCTCTACCACTTAAGTGGTCTTTGTTCATGGACACATCACTTAACCCTTGCAAGCCTCAGGTTCCAATGCTTACTTTGCAGACTTGCCCGTGAAAGGCATCTGAGAAGTGTGATACAAGTAACTATTGGGTTGGAGATATAGCTCAATGGTCGAGTACTTGCCTAGCATGTGTAAGGCCCTGGGTTCAATCCCCAGCACTGCAAACAACAACAGTAACACACTTGGACACTTTTGGAAATATGTTAAAAGATGAGTTTGGGATTTCTCTTGAACCTGGCTTTACAGTTCTTGGGGTGCTCACTTGGAAGTTATGCTGAAGTTGGGTGATTACATTGTTCATTAACTAGCAGCTTCTCTGCCTGGCAGCCTGAATCCTTTGTTCAGGGAGGCCCTGACTGCTTCCTGACTCCTCAGGATGCTCTCCATGTTAGTGAGTGGTTTTTTGGGGCTCAGACCTTGGCCAGTGAGGTCACCTGGGTTCTATAGGGGACAGCCCTGGACAAGGGCCCCAGAGGTTTGCCCATGCGTAAAAGGTGCTCCTAGAAAGCCAGAGTCTGTCCCAGGAGTGGCAGGTCCACCCAGGACAGTGCCAGTGGAAAAGTGAGGCAGTGAGGCCAGGGGAGGGACTTTGGAGAGGTCGTGTGTGTGAGTGTGTGTATGAAAGCCAGTGCTGGGACTTGGGGGCCCTGTGTTTGCTCTGTGGCTGGCTCTGTTTATATCACTCGCTATATTTAGATTCTGAGTCATCAGCGTGGCAGACTAGAGGCCGAGTTCCCCACACACTCTGCACCTGACTGCTCTCTCTTTCAGGAGAAGGGGCTTGTAGTTCTGGACAGTTTGTTCCTCTCTGCCCACCAAGGCAGGCCATGGGGATGAGAATCGGCTTTGGGTTTTGGGAAGAGAGGGGGTTGATGGGGAGACAGGGTTGGGGGTGGCACAAGGAAGGATAAATAAAAATATCTGCTTTGTCTTTTGATCCATGCCTGGCAGCCAAGAGAGCATGGTCCATGGCCCAAACAAGAGCAACCAGCTCAGGGGATGCTTACCTTTGTCCTTGACAAGTTTGTTTTGTCCTGCCTGGCAAACTGGCCCCAGACAGGTCGAGAACAGCCCCTGTAA